ATGCTTTCAATTCCTTCTAATGTTGTCAATTTGACTCGATTTTTCCCACTTTGATTAAAACTATGATTGAAAAATGACTAAAATGAAAAATAATTAAAAAGATAATTGAAATATTAAGTATGGAATCCTCACGAAGAAAAAAAGAAATCAAATAATTTTCATCTGTTTTCTCAGCCATAAGTAGAACAGATTTGATGTGAAACTTTCTAGTCCCCCTAGCAATGTTCCACGATGTCATTTTTGCTACGGCCTTTTAAAAAAGCATCAGCTTTTGAACTCACCTGTGCACGTTTTATTTTTAAACCTTAAGCACAGCTTCCCTGCTGAACTGCACAAAGCCAGCCCAACAAAGCACAGTTTTAGCAGAAAAAGCGTTTTGTCCTAAAACCTGAAAGCCCAGGCAGCTACTCCTTCAACCCACACAGAAGCTTCCAGCATCGCGATAAAAACCTCACGGGAGAAGAGGTTTACAAGCAGCAGTCGGGAAGCTCGTGGGGCACAGAGGGCAGGGACAAACACTCCCAAAAATGACAATATTTGTCAGCTCCTGCCATCTACTGACTGTGCTGCAGAGCGGCAGCGCCCGGCAGGGACGGCCCGGGGCAGGAGCTGTGCCGAAGGCAAGGCTGAAATCCCAGCCGGGAGTTCACAGCCCGGCTTCGCACACAGGTTAAAAAAAGAAAAAAGCAGCCGAGATGTAAACAACATATCCTTAAGCCTGGGCCTGAAATTCGGCCCTGTGCTTATCACGAAAAGGAGGAACTTCTCCAATAAAATGTAAACAACAACGAGACTCGAGGAAAGTGCAAGTCTAAAAGAATCAAACGCTCTTACCCAATTAGTGGCATTATTTTCTTTTAATTTTTCCTTGAAGTATTCGGTTACCTTCTTTTCCCAATCAGAGTTTGGAACATTTTGGGCTACAAAAAAAACCACATTTACACACGCATTAGCACCGGTAACAGACCTCTATCCAGCATTCTCACAACACAGCGAACAAAGCAAACTTTTCCTTCTATTCTGGGGAAGCAGGTGCAATTTAGACTACAAATGACTGCATTTTAGTGTAATTTATGCCTCTTGTAACTCATGACTTCACAATTTACAGGCTTCCAGGCCAGCCAAGACACACACAGCCATTCTCGGGAGCGAGGAAAAGCTCCACAACGCCTCAAGGAGAAAGGGAAGGAGCTGAGGCACCGCTTCCCGCGCGGAAGGTTTTTATTTCCATAACCTTTTAGTTAAGATCGATCCTAGCACAGAAACAGCCGCGGTGATGGCACTGGTAACATTAGCAGTGATCGGTGTGGACAGCACGCGTTGTTCCCGAAATCCAAAGATACACAAGATACGCAAGATATACGAGATATAGATGATATATATATATATAAGGTACGTGAGATATACATGAGGTACAGAAGGCACACAAGCAGCCTCGCCGCTCTCCCGCCACCACCCCGCGAGGGAAAGCCCCGTCCGGTTCCGGGCGCCCTCAGGGCGCTCCCGCTCGGGCCGAGGGGACGCCGGTCCCGCCTCACCGAAGAAGCCCTGCACGATGCTGAGGGGGTTGTTGAGCCAGTCGCCCACGCACGGCATGGCGGGGT